TGAGGAGCCCCCCAGGTGAACACCCCAAATTGTCAGAGCTCCCACGCTCCCCACAAAGCCAGGAGAGCACAGGGAGGATCCTCACTCCTCACTCCTCCACAAAACTCTCCCTCCCCAAAGCTCCCGTGCGCATCGTGACACCGGAGCACTCTGACACCCGCTCTAATTTCAGCTCCACCAACATTCCCCAGGCTGCAGCAGCTCTTTATTCTTTATTCTTTATTCTTTATTCTTTATTCTTTATTCTTTATTCAGCCCCCAGCACGGCACCGGTGAGAGGTGGAGGGTAGGAATGTGTCAGGATCCTGGGCCACGAGGAAAAAAAAAGAGGAGAAGAATCCCATTGTTCTACAGGGAACACTGCAAACACCCCACTCCCTCCCTTTTGATTTGCTAAATGATCTTTAAAATCTCCCTTCTTTTATTTTAACAATAAGTTCATCATTTGTGCAGCTCCTTAACTGACACCTCACTTAAGCCCACTTAAAAGTGCTTAATTTGAAACAATCAAACGAGCATTTAAAGACAGAATAAAATAGCAGTGACAGGGRAGGGAAGGCTCACAGCTGGGGCTGGAAACCCTCTGAGCCATGAAAAAATAAATAAATTCTCCTATCATCACTCTACACTGGGAAAAAAGAACCGAAAAAAAACTAATTGAAGCACTTCTGCAAAAGGAAAGATAATATGAAATAATATTTTTCTTACCGTAATTTTGCAGCACAAATTATACAKGGAAGAATTAAAAAATTAAAGTAATAAAATAAGCTGTCCAGCAGCTAAAACATTTTGTTCCCCTTTTGCGTTTTTGCTCGTTTCATCACAGAAAACACCCAGAAATCAGGAAACACAGGGCAGCACCACACGGAAAAAGGAACGATCCCAGCTCAGCTGCCAAACCTGCCCAAAACACCCATAAATAACTAAGCTGGGGTTATTTTTGAGCAGCAAAGCTTTATGTAGCACTCAGGTAGAACGTCTCACACCCCCTGCATGGCCAGGATCACCCACACCATGGATTTGCTGSTTTTTATTTTGGTGTTTAGCAAGAAATCAGCGGAAGGAGCCCTGGAATTGCATCCCAGCCCAGCGATCTGTGCTCATGACACAAATCAAATATCACCCTGGGGCTCTGGAATGTCAAATCCTTTCAACCTGCGGTTCCAACTTATCTCRCACAGCCACAATTACTGGAAATGAAGCGGTTAACCAGCAGAATAAACACCTGAGCGGAGAGATCGGAGCAGTTCTGCGTGGGAAAGGAGCAGAACTTTAATTTAGGAGGGGTTTAAAGCTCGCCAGGCGCTGCTTTGGGACGCGSCACGGAGCGGCTGGGCTGGTTCTGGGACTGCCCGGACAGCCCCGACCGGAGCACAAGGAAGGAAAATCGCGGCAGAAAGCGCCTGGCTTTTGGAATTTTCCGTTCTCCGTTTGTCTGGGTTTAACCCGGCGCTCAGAGCTCCGGTCCCAACCGGGAATAAGCACGGGCAGGGCCGGGGGGCACCGGCAGGGAACAGCGCGGCTGTGGAAGGCGGCCCTGCCCGAGGAGAGGGAACGGGACGGGATTTACGGTCCCTCCCAACMTAAACCACACCGGGTCTGTGCGGCCCCGCCGCTCTGCGCTCGCACCGGGCTCTCCCTGTGGCGGGCGGGCCCCCGAACCGCCGCAGCCGCTGCCGCTGCACCCCTTCTGCGGCCATAGCAGTGCGGGGGCGGTACCGGCGGTGTGCCCCGGTGTATTTAGATGTATTTAGATGTGTTTAGGTGTGTTTAGGTGTGTCCCGGTGTGTTGCGGTGTGTTTAGGTGTGTTTAGGTGTGTCCCGGTGTGTCTCTCACCTGTGCCGGGGTGCCCCAGGCCCGGCCCGGCCGCGCCGCCGCCTCGTTCCGCCGCACCGCCACCGCCCGCTACGTCACTTCCGGCCGCCCCGCCCCGCGCGCCCCGCCAATCAACGGCCGCGCCGCCTCACACACCCACCCACCCCCGCCCTCACCCGGGCTGTCCCATCCTGCCCGCCGGGCGGGGGGGGTCGCACCGGGGTTTCTCTTCCGCGGAGGCTTTGCTTCAGCCCCGTCCCCGCCGCTCTCGTCCCGCCTCTCTTCACTTCTTCATCACCGCGCCCGCTCCGCCCGCCGCGGCTTGACGACAACGGGGGAAGACACGTGTGCCCCCCCCCTGTCTCCGCGGCGTGGTCTGGGCCGCGCCGGCGCGGCACGCGGCGCCCCCTAGCGACGGCGGCGTTGCTGGG